CAGTCGGCGCAGTTTGCCGACGGGGAGGGGGGCATTTTGCACTTTCGTTGCTTCACTAGTTCTGGTTTACAAGTCTCACTCTGGTGAAACCTGTGAACTCTTGTGAAGCTGGAGCAAGCTCGTCGCCATCATGGTAAAACCTGTCAACTCGAGAAGAGGCTGTCTAGATGGGTCGACACGTCGATGGGAAGTCGTGCCTCCCCCCCCCCACCCCGTTGCCGAACAGGTAGATCTATCATTAAACACTAGTGGAGCCCTATCGATCACACATATTTATACGAGAACAGACGATTACAGGCACCTACATGCACTACCTGCATGGTAAGCTAATGAAGTACATACCTCCCCAGCATTCTGCAAGTAGTACCAGTATGCGAGTATGGCGGTGATCAACACTAGCATGAAAGCTACGAAACTGCTGCTGCCGTCGGATGTTGATGAATCGCCCATTGTATAAAATGAGACTCACCTCGCATGCTTAGATATCCGGAATTCGAAGTTGAGCTCTCAACACCTGATAAACCGCTCCTATCATGCATGATTGCCTGTATCCATGAACACAGACAAACAGATGGGTAAGATGAAATATGATAGATGAAAGGCAAGGCTCTACATTGATTTACTGAGCACGGTGGCTGGCACAAGGTCTAAACTGGGAACATTGTCAGGCACAATGTCTTTTAAGTGTAGTCGTCGACCCTGCAAGAGCGGGAATGAGTGAGGGGGCGTAGATTAGTGCACAGCCAGGACGGCGTTTCTCACCAACTGTTGACGGCTCAGGAAGGCATCAATAGGCACAAAAGGCTGCTCTGGCCACCTGCCGATCCACCCTCTCCCTCCACTCACAAACCCTCTCCTTCGCAGGTGAGTGGACTGTGGCCGAGCGGTATACCGCCGTCTAGAAATGCTTTCCATAATCTTACATGTGATCGTTAGATTGAAAGCCGACTCGTATTTACTTACCCCAACGCTACTGAACAGAAAAATGACCTGTATTCTCAGAATTGTGTTCAGAAGAGTTCCTGATCGTAAAATAAGTTCACTGACAAAACTCAAAACCAGACAACTGTCCATCGGACGTCATTAGGCAACGGGCCTAAGCTTTTCTGAAGATTCGAAGAAGCTGTGGAACGCTACATCCACTTTCTGGAAACACATCGATGCAGGCACAGAGACGTCAAGTGCGCGAGCGCTCGCGACCAGGAAGTTAAGGCGGTTTCTATTCAGAATCGCGCACTGATGTCGGAGCTCAACTGGGGAGGGACACCAGCTACAGTATGCAGCGCAATTTCTCAGACACTGCTGAATATCAGTTGGCCTTTCAAGTTTTGCTATAGCCATTCAGCCAGGGTTTGATTAACTTCCAGCTTTCAAAGGAAGTCCTGAGCGAAGCTATTTTCGAAGGTTCAACCGCGCCAATTGGTGCTCCTACACAGCGACTCCAAGCGCTTTGTGAAGCCGTGTATAAATAATCCCTATCGGTAGGCGGAGAGGCGGGCTGCGACTTCGCTGTGTTAAAGTGGCCTAGAATTAGATCGTGGAACGTTATTATGTTTGGAAATAGAATTGTCTATCGTCGACGGGTGAAGGTTAGCGAATTGCTACATTTGACCACTGCCCACCGTGCTTTGTGTTCGTCAACATAGTAACAATTTGTCCTAGGCGGCTCTGCGCCGCTTAGGGGCCTGCGTTTACGTGAAGATTTGCGGCCATTCCCTCCGTATCTCCGAAATGTGGGATCTCTCTATAGGGTAAGTAAATGTCGGTGGTACACACGCAAAATTAACGGCCATTCTAAAGTATATGTGGTAACGAGACTGACTGAAGTGGAAACCGGTTGCAAAGCCGCTCAAAGGCAACCATTAGTCAACGCTTAATTAGGAATATCGTAACATTCCCGTGATGTTCGTGTTTTCTCTAATCTTTAGTGTCTTTAGTGCTAAATAGGCATGTAGTGATAAGACGCGCTATCAGCGCGAATGACGGCACTTTTTCTGCTCTTTCTTCATCGAAGGAGCACTACCAGTAATGACTGGCATAAAGTAAGTTTCCCATTCCTCACTTTTTTCAAGCTGACTTTTTCCACCTGGAATTGTAGGAATAGTCTGAAACCTTTTTTTGGCGCATTTTGACCTGGTGGGGGCATTTTTGTCATCGAGTAGGAACTCCATTCACACTTTACAAGAGTCTCCTGATCTCACCAAGGTAAGACGTGTAATTTGAGAGGATTCAGCAAGAGGAACTAGCGAACATGCAAATTGCTCCTTCCACGCCGAACACTCACTGACAAACTTTTTGACAAACAGGTAAAAGCCCATCTTTGAGGCGTCTTTTTCCAGGCTGAGTCAAACCACCCAAAAGGAGGTTCAACTTCCACTACAGCCACAAAATGAAGAAGCAGAACTTAACATATCACTACGGCTAAAGTGATTTTACTTCCAAATATCATCTTCCAAAGTTCAAAATATTCAACTGAATCACAAATTTCAGACGGCAAATTTCTCATTCGCCTGGTTATTGCCTTACTCTTTATCTTCTCGACGATGGTCTATGCCGGCTTTCTGTGGGTGTTTTTTGGATCTTTTGATAGTTAAAAACTCAAAGTCTATTCTAATAATCCAGGAATAAGTCGAACCCCCAAGACCTGCACAAACATCCGATGGAGGAAAACTCTGTGGCCCCAGAGGATTCTATGGAATACACAGATCGTTTTGTGGAATTCATGAAAAAGTCAGTTCCAGAGTTCTACTTTTGGCATTTTGACATGGCTCCTTTTACTTACATCTACTGGATCAACATGAGTATAGATTAGATTAAGTCGTTTTTTCCAGGTTTGGCAAAAATTATAAGGACAATGCAGAAATGCTGAGGCGATTCAAGACCTACGAGAAGCACATGAGAGAAGTGTCGGTACTGAACAAGTGGGTTAGATTCGGATCTTGTGTTTTTACCAAATGTTAAGAGCAGGAAAGACAGAGCCTTCTTCGCAGACATTACTGTTTTACGCCATGGAGAAGCGGGGGTCTTCAAAAGGCGTATGTTTCTGTATCTTCTGATGTGCATACCACACTGGCGGTGTTCTTTTCAGAAATAAAAAATCCAATGCCCAGTTCGGAGAAAACGATCTGAGCGATTGGACCGATGAGGAGTTCAGAAAGGTGAGAATTCACATAGAGCCTTCAGCAGTGTTTCGAAACTTCAAAATTGTTTCAGTCCCTTTTACCGCTGTCATTCTACAAACGACTACGGAAGGAGGCCACATTCATTCGAAATGATCCCCCGAAGCTTGAGCGAGCAATGCCTGCTCCGGATCATTTCGATTGGAGAGATAAAAATGTCATTTCACCAGTGAAAGCTCAAGGTGATAAGATATTTTTCACCTATTTGCTATCTCATATGATCTGCTAAGTGCGAATTCATACAAAACAAGCTTTTCCTAATTCCGCTACTCTTTAGGGAGCTGCGGGTCCTGCTGGGCATTTGCAGCTACGGCTACCGTAGAAGCTGCTTGGGCTATTGGTCACGGTGGTGAAATGCGAAACCTCTCTGAACAGACTCTTCTCGATTGTGACCTCGAAGACAACGCTTGCGACGGTGGCGATGAAGATAAGGCATTCCGGTCTGTTAATACACCTTTTTTCTTGTACAGAGGGGGGTATCAGTATTCTCCTGTGATGCAGAAATCTCATGTGTCTTCTCTACTCACTGTAGCCTCCCACAGGACAAAGGACAACGTGATAAGGCCTTTGTGGTTTTTATGAGACCTTTTCCGTCCTTTTTACGGGGGCGCTACCTGCCACGGCAATGTGTAGCCTTGTTACATGCGTTCAACGGCTACCATATTTTCTGGGGTATAAGCGCACCCGGTAGGGCGCAGCTTCGCCTCAAAAAGTAATTGCTGGTCTTCCTGTCTATGTGGGTGATTCAATGGGTTGACCTGAAGGGGGCGTTCTTTTCTACCTATAACTTCGCGCCACCTACGTGATGGCATACGCTTAAAAACACGGTGCAGTGTCCCAAGGAGAGGTCTTGCAAGCAGCCGCTACCAAACAGAGTCCCCCGCGCCCCAAAGTCACGAGGTCCAGTTTCCCAGCACATAATCGCTGGAATCAATTTCAACTAGACAACTCAAGCACTGCAGTTGTTTCATCCCCTAAGCCCTTGGCAAGCCCATTCCGTCCCGTAGACCGTAAGGAATCTCCTATCATGGCTTTCTTTCGATCATAAGACCTCCATTGTGAGTGAATATAGTGCTGATTAGGGGGAAGGCTGATGTAAAACTGCTCAAGGGCTAAAATTAACCTATTCGGAACGGCGATAAAAATGGCGACCGACAATGGTTGCTGGTTGCCCTGAGTGTTGTTCAGCTCAGGGAATGTTACTTTAGCTCCCAGAGAAGGGGGACCTAGCTGGCGCTCACTCGAGATCGTCGCTGATCTGCAAGACTGCGGGGTACAAAATCGTCGTCTCAGTTCTGCTTAGAGGTGGGGGGGGGGGGCAATTCGCGCTTTAGCTAGCTTTCTCTCACCATGACGAGAACTGTAGATTCTTGTTAAGTGTTAGCGAAGGCAATGCGACTGTAGAGCATTACAGGAGTTTACAAGTCTCCACATGACGAGTCGGCAGCGACCGATTGGAACCACAAAAATCCCCCACCCCAACAAATGGACTGCGCCCATCCTCTGGATGTGGAATGTTATTCACAGCTGCTCTCATAACCATTCCTCGTCACAATCATCTTTCACTTTTTACCGACGTTGGTGCAAAATTTACTTGATTCAGCTACATTCATCGGCATGGTCTCGCATACGCTGCTGATTTGCCATATGTTGCTCACCGACAGAATACTTGTAACGTTAATGACAACACCACAAAAATTGAGGTTAGTTAGACTGTCTCCAGATTTCTTAACTCTCCTTGGAGGGAGGGGGTGGGGGGCATTTTGCTATTTTACGTGGTTTCCATTGTCGTGTAGTGTCAACAAGTGTGGACTTGTGATACCTTGTGAACTCATGAAGTGATAGCAGTCAAAGCTCGTAGAAACTACTCGGCAACACTTGTAAAAATTCCTGTCAACTGCTGAAAAGCAATGATCCCTACAACGGGAAGCGACGGGAGTGCAAAATGCTACCCTCCCCCGTTGCTGGATTGTTGCTCTTTTTTTTTCTTAATTATGTGCAAATAGGAAAAACTCTATTCGAAAAAAAGCATAGAAACAGAACAGGCCGATTTGTTTCATTTGCCTCCGTCAATCCTTTCAGGCACAAATGCGGGCCAGGAGATCCTATTTGCGGCGGTGCAGCGAAAGCGGCTCCGAAGTGGCGTCACGCGCGTCAGAACGGTGCTGATGTCGCATACGAATATGTCATACCAAGCCGAGTCATACGGGTGTAAAGCGATACTTCCCATTCGCAGCATTGCGCACAAGCACAGCACAGACAGAGAGTGAGAGCAGGTTCACTTGAGAGACGCAGTGGATCAGCGCGCAGCAGCACTTCCACGCTGAGTGGATTGGGTCCTGGTCCTGCTCATACCCCCGTCTTGCAAGGCCTGTCTCCCGCGGCTGGAAACCAACGGTCTACTCCCTAGTCAGACAGCTGGAAAATTCTAGGAGTACCGAGTTCTCTCATGTCGCTGCTAATCGGATCTAGCTGCACCCCCAAGCCCTCTTTGGTGGTGAGAGGGCAATAGAAATATTGAAAACATAATATATTGCATGCTTGAAAAGAAAAGAGCAGAATCCAACTTAGTTAGATTGAATAAAAAGCTGAAATTCCATTTAGGTAGCCTACTTCCTGCATCCTGATGAACAATCAATGATCGATTGGCTGGTAGGATTTGGCCCAGTGAACATCGGAATCTCTGTCACACCAGACATGAAACCATATAAAGGCGGTGTGTTCAACCCAAACCCCTATGACTGTAAGCACAAGGTTGGTTTTTTTTCGAATCAACGGAATGATAGGAATATAAAATTCTGTATTTCAGGTGGTTGGACTGCATTCATTAATGATTGTCGGTTACGGTACAACTGAAGCTGGTGAGAAGTACTGGATTGTGAAGAATAGCTGGGGTAATACGTGGGGTGTTGAGCACGGCTATGTATATTTTGCACGAGGTGTAAATGCTTGTGGCATTGAAGATGAGCCTATAGGTATATTGGCTTGAAAAAAGAATTCCGAAATAGTTTGTTCATCCAGAACTATTGAGCCATATTTTATTGTGAGGCATATTTAGCGTCCTGGGGCCGGGGCTGCTCTGTAGTAGAGTAAGGCAGGATAATTATTTCCGAGCCGTTGCTCCTTTATACTTTTGAGCATTTGTTCACTTTTCCTTACTAGCTTTTTCCTTTCTTATCGCTCCTCTTTCTCTGATCTCCCTTATTCAACCAGATAATTAAATTCATTTCGAATAGAATACATTCTCAGGAGTGAGCTCTTCCCTTCACGGACTCCTTCCTTGGACGTCGCTCTCCACAGTTTTGTTGTCTAGCTTGTAGGCTTTCTCTCAAAGGTGCAGTCCACGTTGATCATGTGGGTGGATACTGCCAATCATTGTATGTGGCCCGGTGGCTGCCCCTCCTCTTATTTGTCTTGAAAGGAATGGTGTACCAAAGAGGAAGGCAGAATGGTGGGTGTCTTCGCTCATGTGCACCCACATATGACTCTGTCTTCAACGGCATGAAGGACTCGGAGAGGGTTCATAACCACTCCACCTTCCTTTTATGAGCGCATCTTCCCTCTGGCGCCTTGAATAACGGGCACAAGAAGGAGGAAGAAGTGGCTAACTATCTCCGCCCACACGATCGACGTGGAATGTGCCCGCAAAGATTTAGGCTGTAGGTTTTTATATGGAAGTTCGACTTCGCGACTATCCAGCCGCGAGTTCGTTCAACTCCCCTAGGCTGTTAAGAAATTTCTCACATCATTTTTCCAACGATTTATTACAGTCCTTGCTATAACCATAGGCAGTGTCGCATTCCAATGCCACGTGCATTTTCAAATTGAAAAAACCAAATGCTATAAGGATATGTGAATGTTGTTACTGTTGTTTACAAAATAAAGAGATCGTTGTTAGAATAGGAATTGTTGGGCTTGTCTGGCGAGAGCACTTGTGAACGTGAAATTCCTCTCACATATGGAATTAAAGCCCGAGTCACATGGATAGAAATAAAGATATCGAGTGGATTCCGCGTCTCCATTATAGTGGGCAACACATCTAGACACTGAAGACCATCCATTCGCTGCCGACGAAAATGGATTGATCAGCCATTTCCTGAAATCTCAGGCTCTTCATATATGCAATCATCGAGGATGGGAGAAATCCATCTTGCAGTTCGGCTTGGCTCCCCTGCCTTGAGGACCACAACAATACTTATGGACGAGTATTTACATTTTTATTCGAAGAACCCACATTTTTGAAACATCAATTCCACTAGTGGTTTGCCACGTAGGGGCTGACTGATGCTCGAACTGAGCAAGACCAATCCAAGTCC